GACAGAGTCTGGTTCTGTTGCTCGGGCTAGAGTGCCGTGGCGTCATCCTAGCTCACAGCAACCTCAAACTCCTGGGCTCAAGCTATCCTTCTGCCTCAGCCTCCCGAGTAGCTGGGACTACAGGCATGTGCCACCATGCCCGGCTAATTTTTTTTTCTCTTTTTAATTGTTTGGCTAATTTCTTCGTATTTATAGTAGAGACGAGGTCTCGCTCTTGCTCAGTCTGATCTCGAACTCCTGAGCTTAAGCAATCCTCCTGCCTCGGCCTCCCAGAGTGCTAGGATTACAGGCGTGAGCCACCGCGCCCAGCCTGGGGATTTTAAATATATGCAGAATTTAAATAAATAATGTAGTGGGTTTAATAGTGGCCCCCCAAAAGATAGGTCCGTGTTCTAAAACCTAGAACCTGTAAATATTATCTTATTTGGAAAAAGAGTCTTTGCAGGTGTAATTAAGTTAAAGATCTTGAGATGAGGAGATCATCCTTAGCTTATCCAGGAGAGGCCTAAATCCAATGACAAGTATCCTTGTAAGAGACACACACAGAAGAGGAGGAGGCACTGTGACCATGGAGGCACAGATAGATGTGGCCAAAAGCCAAGCAATGCCTGGAGCCACAACAAGATGGAAAAAATGAGGAAAAGCAGGAAAAGGCAGATTGTTCCCTAGAGCCTTTGGAAGAAGGATAGACTTGCCAACACCTTGATTTGGAGCTTGTGGCCTCCAGGACTCTGAGAGAATACATTTTTGTTGTTTTAAGCCACCAGGTTTGTGGTAATTTGTTACAGCAGCCATAGGAAACTAATGCAGACAACAAAATATATTTGGTAATTAACCAACACACTTTTAAATAATCCATATATCAAAGAGGAAGCCCTAAGGAAAATTAGAAATTATACTGAACTGAATGAAAATGAAAACACAACATAGCGCAATTTTGAGGATGAAGCTAAAGCAGTATTTACAAGGTAATTTTTATAGCTTTAAATGCTTAATTAAAAAAGAATAGTTGGTCCGAGGGCAGTGGTGTTTACAACTAATTGATCACAACCAGTTACAGATTCCTTTGTTCCTTCTCCACTCTCACTGCTCCACTTGACCAGCCTTTAAAAAAAAAATAAAATAAAAAGATGAAAATAAAATAAAAAAGAATAAAGATCTAAAGTGAGTAATCTAAACTTCTACCTCAAAAAGCTAGAAAAAATAAAATTAAATCAAACCCAAAGAAGGAAATAATAAAAATCAGAGCAGAAATCAGTGAAATAGAAAATAGAAAAAGGATAGAGGAAATCAACAAAGCCAACAGTTGTTTGAGAACATCAGCAAACTTTATAAGCCTATATCTGGAATGAATATATTAGTTAAGATCAAACAAGGAGATAGAAACTACATAGTGATTTAGAGAGGTAAAGTTTAAAAGAAAGGATTATTAACTGTAATGAAGGACTGAAGTAGAAGGATGAAGATTGACTAGTAAAAAGTAAAGAGGGCTCTAAGGAATACAGGAATAGCATACAGAAAGACCATCCCCAATCCCTA